GGTTATCAGACTGACCATACAGCAAATCTCAGCTGGCACACACGTGGACGCGTCCACAGTGCTCCAGCTGTGCCGACGATGGTTGGAACCATGGAAGTAGGAAGTACCTTCGTACCTCCATGGTTGGAACAAGGAAATGTAGCAAGTTCGAGGGGTGCCCCTGCAGCAGAGTGACGTCAGCACGCGTGGATCACGGACCTTATAAGAGAGAATTGTAAGAGAGAGAGAGATTTTTTATAACGTCCATGGCGTGGATCGACGCATCGGCCGACAGGCGGTGGCGCCCCATCAAAGCCATTTCTACCTCTATTCTGCAACATGTTCAAGACACCCTGGAGCAAAGCAATTTTTTTCTACTATTTTGCACTGGTCTTTGTAGGAAATTTTATGCTAAATGGCAAAGTTATTTATAATTTCAGCCTTTATCATAACTTCTTTTTTCGTATTTCCTTACCAGAATGCAAATGAGTAGCTAGTATTTAAACTGAAGTTTTTAGATTTTAAGATAGAGCGTTTTTCTGGCATCGCGTGAATGCCGCGTGCAAGTATCCTGCCAGCTGTGATAGTTACCATTATTAGGCGTTTTCTTGCTACCGACATTTTAATTCTAATGTTCCAGTAGAGTAGTGAGCCATCTTCTAGTATATTAATTAATTGTGTAATCTTTGACTACTGTACAGCATTTGACATGATTTGAACTGTTATATTTTATTTTGCATTACCCCTATTTGTGGTTAATATTGCAGCACGAGAGAGTGGCTTTTATTTTCTAAATTCTATTGAAATAAAAAGGTTATTTTTAACCGTCGTATAACTTCGTCGTTGTTTCAGACATAGCCATAATTCGTCTCGCGTCTGTTAGGGCTATTAGACTAAAAGTGTTACCACACCAAGTGTAACCCTACACCTGTTTTTTCAGCTCTTCGCAATGTTTCGACACGATGTTTATGATTTTTATGCTCTTTAGCCTCTAAATTAAGTCTGAAATTAGTAGGCTAACGGTAATTGTTTAGCTTAAAATAGTTTTAGAGGTTAATTTGGAATCTGCATGTGAAGTTTTCAAAGTAAATTTATATATATTAGAAGCTTTTAGAAATTGCTCAATTTTTTAAAAGTTAATGAATTTTATACATTAAAAAATATTATTAAATTTTCGTAAACCGTAAAGCCAGACTGTAATGTGAAATTTTCATAATTCAATTTCAACCTTTCAATTTCTTTCTTTTCCTTTCCCTATGTTTCTTTTTTCCTCATATGTTTATTCACAGCTTCTGAATGCTGTATGCCTTCAGAGATTCAATATCCTTTGATTTGTTATATGTTGTTGCCAATTCTTCCTTTGCTATTGTCGGCTGTGGGTATATTAGCTTGCTGTTTCATTGTCTGTTACATCTGTCATGTTTTACTTATCCTTCGTTTACCCGGAGTTGTGGATGTGTCCTTTGTATATACAAATACAATCAGAACAAGAGAGAGAGACTTGGAATTTGACCTTTGTTAGTATTAGGCGAATAAATAAAACATATACGTAAACAAACAAATTTTATTATTGAAAGTTCCTAAGTTTTGTAAATTAAAAAAACAAAGATTTATTATGAAAATAACAATCAATAAATATTTACATAATAAAATTTAATAAATCTCCTTTGCACTGGAGAGATCCTGATATATACTCATACTTAAATCTAATTTTTAGATGACTAAGGAAAGCGTCACCTACAAAAAGTGGGCAAGTTTAAAAGCTATTCAGAAGCGAAAATCGAACTTATCAATAAAATGTAGCATTAAACTTAACTAAAATCTCAATCCTACCTGTAAAAGCAGCCCACCAGTCGCTGTATACACTGTGAAGTGGCTGAAGACTGATAGTTCGGTTCGAGGTTCGAATCCCACAAACGAGCTGGCTGCATGGGCGTTTCTGTAGTTTTCCTCATGTGTAACGTGCATACGAGCCAGTTTCCCTTAGAAACTCCTCCACGAAGACAGGTAGACGTTCTCCACGAAGGTATCCCTTCCCTTAGGCAGATAGCCCTCGAGGCTTTTGCCATAATCACATAAAACCAAAATCTGCCTGTAAAAAATAAAATTTTGTTTGAGGCTAAAAATTGCTAAATGAAGTTACGTTTCGAAGTGATATTGAGTTATTTAATTATAACAAAAGTATGGTATGTCTGCCTAGGAAGAAGTCTAATTCTTTGAAAGCGGAATTGCTTTATACAAAATTTAAACACTTAAATGGCATAGTTTGGCTCCGGCTAAACAGCCAGGTTTCTTATCGTCCTGCTCTAAATCTTCCGTTAAAAAAAAAAAAAAAAAAAAAAAAAAAAAAAAAAAAACCTCCTTATTAGATTTTTAGTTTCACCAGTTTACGTAGTATAGCAATAGAAGTCAACAGCTGCTTTCCATTTTGACCCAACACAGACTTAAACCTGAGCAATTGAAGTATGAATTCACAAAGTAAATCCTACACTAATATTTATCTTAGGCCCTCTAACCACGCAAGAAAACAGTGTTAGCAACGATGAAAGCCAGTTCATGAAATTTTAGAAGCCAGGCGAAAGTAGTAGTAGTAGTAGTAGATAATCAGCAGTCGTTGACAATAGCCCCCCCCCTCTCTTTTTACTTCCTTGTACGAAGTAAAAAGGAAGTATTGTAATCGCCAAAAGCTTCAGCCAGCATATTTCAACGAAAATAACCACTTTGACCGCTTTCGAATGCAATTTAACGATGTTTTTGTGTGATATCTGTACGTAAGAACAGAATAAGACTCTTTTCCTAAAAAAAAAAAATAAAAATAAAAATAAAAAATAAATAAAAAACCTGCTTTAAAATGAATTCTGAAGAGAATTTTTCGTGGCGTCTCTACAAACGTATGTACGTACGTACGTAAATCGCATAACTCAAAACGAGTAGCCTCAGAACGTTGAAATTTTGTATATAGGACTGCTATAACATGTAGATGTTGCACCTCGTATTTTGGTTTCAATCGGCCGCTCCAAACGTATATAAATATATTTATATATATGTCACTCTGTTACCCTGCTCATTGATCTCAGTTTCTTTACTCTTATATGTTCGTAAATTATACATTTTTTGCTTTAAAAATGATTGAATTATGTTGTTTTTATCTTCCGGTTAAGGGTTTTATGCCTTTAGTAAATGTATATGCAATATTTTTATAATTATCAACAATTTTAAAATTGTTAAGTGCCGCTAAACCTAATTTGATGGCGGCCATTGCTCTGGTTTACATTTGAAACAGCAGGATAGCGGATTTGTTACTAATCTAGAGAGACCTAGCATCGCAGCAACAAAGATAACGCCTTCATATATTATTGCGAATTAAATCATGCTTAATCCTTTCTGGATTTTTTTCGAGGAAATAAGTGTTTAAGATTTACTTCGTAATTTTTAATACAGATATTTTGAGTTTTTATGTATTTTTGCCTTGTCGCGAAGTGAGAACTGAATTAATTGAATGAGAAATGCTCAATCGTCTGTGAAAAACTGTTTCTTTTTTGTTTTGTTTGCTTAATTTCTTTTATACATCGTTCTAGCTTTATTATAGTATTTGAATAGAACATGTGGCAACGATTAGATAATTCTTTAAATGATATAAATTTTGTGGATTCTGAGTTATAATATGAACGAAATATAATACTGTTAAGTAAACCTAGCGCCAGAGTGTCGCTATGGTAAACAAAGTGAATTTTAAAGAATGCATTTATTCTATTGTGGTTTATGCGCTGTCGGCGAAGTAGGTTTAATTCAATCTAATAAGTTTAAATGAAATGCAAGAAAATGCGTATAATTTAATATTTCGTACAAGGAAGTCATGTGGTGCACACATCAGATTTTTTAACTTAAAAAATCTATTGTTCCTACATACATTAACTAATTTTCATCCTGGGTGAAGCTGATAAGAATATAAGGTTACAATATATATAAAAAATAGGTTAATAAATATTAAAAACCTACAATTTCGTGTTTAAGTAATACATGGAAAACTTTGTAGTTGGTAGATGAAGAAGGAATGAACTACGAATAATCAGTGGTCTTACCAATTCAGCTACTGGCAGACATGTCTTAAACTGAAAATGTGTTATTTTTTGCACTTAAATTTATGATCATACTACACGATTACAGGGAATAAATAAGTGTACCCACAGCATTTTAAACTCTTAATAGATATTACTGATCATTCTTATATATCCAGAAAGAAATCGCTCTAAACTTATCTTGTTATTTTATTTTAGTTTTTTTTTAACTCTGTCCTTTCCGGACTTTATTATAAAAAGATAATTAACACGAAACATAACCTCACATCTTAAGTTAACGTATTTTCTTTAAAAATTTGTTTCGTACGCATCGTAATAATATTACCCTGACACCAGTATTTAATTTAAATATCACCAAAGATGTTTGGAATCAGCCCAAAGCTGTCTACACAGGAAAGGAGTAACATAAATCTATTTAGGAATGTGATGCTGCTGAAAACCACTAAGTTGACGCTGACGAATATGTAGCTCAGTAAAGATTGGGTGTTCAGATCAATTACGTTAATTATTTCAATATTTAAAGTTTGAGGTTTTATTGAATTTATTGAGGTTTTCCAAGATTCGAAAGGACGCATAAAAACAAAGAATGCCTGTATTGACTAGTTACTATGCCTTCAGGTCAAAAATTATTTCCTTTTCAAAGAAAATATTCATTAAACAAGCTACAATTAAAAAATGTACAAGTGATGAGTAACGAAATAGTGTGCGAAAGTTAGAACAATAAGTTTAATTACTGGGGCCAATAAGTACAGTTTGTTTATGTAATAGAACCAATTTATTTTAATGTTTAACGTATAACGTGTTGAGAAGTATTGCAAATTTCGTATTATTACAAATTAACACTACATGAAATTGCATTTTAATCTGCTCTTTTTCGTTATATGTTTCAAATTAGTTATTTCCCTATATCTTTAACCTTTCTGAAATCAATTTTATTTCTAGGCTCGAAAAATGAACGTTGATAGTTTTCGATCAAATGCAGCTGTCAATAACTCTTCTGCTGAAGTCAGAATTGCCAAGACGGCCTTCTGCCTCATCGTTCTATTCTTGTTTTCCTGGGTTCCTTACATTACCGTTGCTTTTATAGCTGGCTTCTCAGATCCCAAAGAAAGGCGAATCACACCCGTGATTTCAATGATTCCTGCACTTACTCTAAAAGCTTCAGCCTGCTTCGACCCTTTCTTCTATGCCATTAGCCACCCTAGGTATAGGCTGGAACTCCAGAAAAGAATGCCTTGGCTCTGCATTCAGGAAAAACAGGAAGCTTCTGTAAACGGAGTCGACGATGTGTCTAAAGCAACAGAGCAAGCCTAAATACTAGTATTTTGAAACTGTTCTTGCCTGTAAAAATTAAGAAAGAAATAACCATTTGCTACAGAGAAAAAAGTGAATTTGAATAATTTATATTAATGATATGAATTCAAAGAAATATTAGTTATTAAAAATGAAATTTCGTATTATTACAAATTAACACTACATGTAATAATACGAAATTTCATGCACTGAATTTAAGTTTCATTTCGGTTTCAATGAAGAAATTATAAGAAGAAATTTGGCTAAAAATGTAATTATGTCAGAAAAATACAAAACTTCAGTACATATTTGGAAAAATAATCGAGTTTTGAATGGAAATATAAAGATAAATTTTAAGAATTTTATGAAATAAAGAGATATGATCTCTTCAACGTTTTCAGATATTGAAAACTAAAATAATTTTAGAGACCCCTTAACTTATATACAAATGACTTTGGTATTTGCTCTTTCATTTATTTATCTGATTTCTGAATTCTATTTCAATATAAATAAGTTACTAATATGCCTCTGAAAATAAATATAGTTGTTGAAATGAGCAAATTAGCACGGATTCGTATATCGTATTGTGAAATTGTTTTATTTTTCTACTCAGTACGCGTATTTCATATTCTTTAAGATTCTAACCAGATGAATGAATTTGATAATCTTCGTTCATTTTTTGTCCGATTAAATCTTCATTTAATACCCCAAATCTTTAAGGACATTTTAAAATCACAGAATGTTACATTATAACACTCCGTCTCTTTATAAAAATTTTCATCTCTTGCCGAGTAAACCCAAGCCTAAATAGCTACACAGGTTATTAAACAAGTCCATCTCAAATGCAGAGTTGAGCTGCAACTCTGCATTTACGGAAATTAAAATCAGACAGAAATGATTGCGACTTACAATCAGACAAAGCAAAATTTCAGCTAAATCTATTTTTAACATAACACAAGGTTAGATTCGGTTCACAGTAATTCGGAGAAAATACTAAAAGGAATATGCTTATTTGGATTTCACGTTAATATTCATCTAAAACAATCATAATTTAAATAGACTTAAATAAATAAGGAATCTCTTGGAAGATTATTACCTCTTAAAACAGCTCAGTTTAAATTTTCAGCATTTGACGTGTATAGAACCGCCACAAAAGACAAAGCTCATAAATTAGGGTCACATTTAAAATAGTATTACTGTTTAATTTAGTTACATAGGGAGCCTAAAAGTTCAGCAGAGGCAATGGGTAATCCCATATATCTGAGTAGAAAATGAGTAGGAGTAGTATAAGTTTTAAAATAACTGAAAAAAATTAACTTCTTATCTCCCACTCAAATTCTTTACAATCAGTTTCGAACTAAAATTACTAGGCCATTATTAAGGCGATCTTAGCAAAAACAAGCTGATATTAAGTTTTTGAATATTATATAATAAGGTTAATAAAAGATTTTAATTGAAAATAACTTTGTTATTTTTTAATTTGTAGACTTTAAATTCATGAATGTCTCAAAAGCATATTTCCAAAGCAATTTTTTGACTTCCTCTATGTACTTAGCATTATAAGTGTGAATACTTTAATTTTACCTTTAGAAAGGAAAAGCATGTTAATGAGTGAGCAATTTTCTAATTAAAAAAAAGTATATTTGTGAAATAATGTTTTGTTGCAACCAAAATATTGGAAAATGTTTACTACCTCATGTTTGTGCTGTTTTCTTGTGAATGTAAAAATGATTTATTTTCACTCATTAAAGTTCATTCTAGATGGACCAATCATAATCATATATTTTCTTTTTGTCTTTTTTAATTTATTTTGTCATCATCATTGCGTGATAAATAAAAGCTTAACATTATTGCGTCATGAAATAAGATTCAAACATTTTTTAGAAAAAAACAGAATACATTTTATAACAAATCAAAATTGAATTTTTAGCTAATAAAATATATTTTAAATATCTTTACTACCCCATCCCCACCCCTCAAATTTTACTTTATTGCGATGGACAGTGATCACCTTTAGCTCAGATTGACTGTGGAAACAATACGGAAACACAAAATAAACTTCTAACTTTACTTTCTAGCCGCTCAATAAAACTAAATAGAAACGCAAAAATTTAAGTCTCCTTAACTTATAGTTACTGACTGGAATGTACAATAAATTAACCGGCTACAACACCAGTGCTGCTACTCGAGTTCTTAACTGAATAGTTCTTAACTGGATTGGACAATCTATATTAAAGTTCCGACTCACCTTCAAACGCACCTATGTCGGGCGATTATTTTTAATCTAACAGCGGCCACATGCTAGGGAAGGCAGACTGTGGCAGCAACAGGGAAACAAGTCATGCCTGTGACAATTTTTCTTCTCAATTTAAGCTATGTCGCTTACCATAAAATCTGTATAAACAGCCGGACTGAGTGACTAGGTGATGAAACGAGGCGTATACGGAAGCCCCCAAAATAAATATTAACTGTATTGTTTAAATTTCAGTTTAATGTAACAATTTTACTTAATATGATGCGTAAAGAACAGAGTATTTGAAATGAAAATTTAATTGCAAATTAAGTCTCTTCGTTAACGCTTTGAGCTATTTAAATTGAAATAGAAAAAAAAATATTCACAGTCCTTAGGTGAAGGCATCCAGCATTTCAAGTCTGAAGTCGTCAGAAATCTGCATGGTTTATAACAAAACAAGATCATACGAAAGACCTAGGTTTAAAAAGTCTGTTGTCTTTTCCTGTATAATTTTGCTGCCCTTGCTCAAACATGGCAGGCGTATGTAAATAAGTGGGAATATAAAACGCTTAATTTTTGACCTGTCGCTAGTCTTAAGGATAAATTTAAGTCGATTAATTTTTATGGCGACATTAGATTTGAGTGCAAGCAATGAGTATATGACATATCGCACGGTTAGATTTTTCGATAAGCCTAGAGAGGTGTTTTCTTGAACAAAAGCTCTGAATCCAGCGAGAGTCCTATGTATTTAACACTTGTAACATGATGAACAGTAACACCACTGAAAGTAATATTCTTGTTGTACTTCCGAAATTTTGTGACAATGAAAGAGCATCGTAGAGCTTCTGCTGGCATTAATATTCAATCTCTATTTCACCAAACTCATAATTGCTGAGGAATTATTGCATTCCTAAAATCCAGTTGCATAAGAGTAAAGATATTGGTTGTGCCAGTGAAGTCATTTGCTCTCGTAATGAAGATTCTTTCGAAAACCTTAAAAAATGAAGGGTAGCAGTCTAACTGAGGAGTAATTATCCAGGTAGAAAGGATTTTCGCCGGATTAGTTTTGCCGGACTTTGCCGGACCCGTTGAAGATGAGTTTGTAATAGGAGTTCTGTATACATAGCCATGCCTACATATTTTTTCATCTCAGACAAGAAGTAAATTCGCGCCTCTGTATAGAATGTTATGCGTCTGGTCAGTTTGGAAGAAAAAATGTACTAATTGGTTCGAACTTTTAAACTGAGTATTATTCTGTGAAAAGTTTTATTTAAAATTTTATTTATAAATTATATATTATATTTTAAAAGTTTTATTTTTAAAGTTAAAGAAATGAAAAAATATTTCGTTCATATGTATACCTATATATATATATATGTAATAATTTTAAAATGTATAGATGAAAGTACTGGAACTTTTAACAGCTTTCGATATTGCGTAGGTGGCTGAGAAGACCGTAGTGGCTTGAAGGTAGGGCTGAGTGGAAAAGCAAGATGACGCATTTAGCACAACGGATCTTGAAGAATAACAATCTTTTTATTTTTACGTATATCCAATTATCCTTTTTCAGACGAAATATTTCTTAATTATATTTGACTACAATACTATAATTCGATTGACAGGAGAGTCAATCGAAGGGGTCTTCAAAATTTTACGTACCATTTTTGTGATTTTGGAGAAGTTATGCCAGTTATTCGAGACTAGGCTTATATTGGATATAGAGCAGGAAAAGGTTGCCTCTTAATTAGCATTTTTTTATATACGCTTTGTTTGTAGGCATAGGTATTATCATTAAGTGTTGTAAGGCAATTTGTGTTCAGAATTGTTAGGGAATTATTCAGTTTTGGAGAGATAGACCTTTGTTTTGTTTTGTATTATTGTTTTTCGGGGTAGGTTATTTTTCTTTAATTTTCCATAATGGGTGAGTTTATGAGGAAATTTACTAAAGCTCTGCTATTGGAGTTAGCGGAGGAGTTTGAAACAAATGTGTCTCAGGCAAATAGAGTAAGAGAAATTAGGCAGGCTATTCTAAATGCCGAGGACTATGAAGAAGAAGCTGCGAAAGAATACGCGGCAAGAATTTGGGCTGCGGCTGAGCAGAGAAAAGCAGAAGAAAAAGCCGAGCAAGAGAGAGCAGAACGGGAACGTGAACAAGAGAGAGCAGAACGAGAACGTGAACAAGAGAGAGCGGAACGGGAACGGGAACGAGAACGAGTTTTTGAATTGGAAAGGTTAAAACTGATGAATGTGGTTCAGACTAATAGCCTAGTTTCCACGGTTTCGAAAGTTGAACAATCTAGAGAAAAAAAGGTTAATTTGAAAGATCTAGTACCGCGTTTTGAACCGAGTAATATAGATATTTCATTATTCTTTATGCTATTTGAGAAACAAGCTCAAAAAGAGAACGTTAATGAGATTGATTGGGTCTCGCAATTAATTCCTTTATTACCTTATGATGTAGCCCAGTTAATAGTGAAAGAACCAGCGGATGAAGGGGATGATTATCAGCATGTTAAGAAATTACTCATGCAGAGATTCAAGCTTAGTTCTTGGGCACTAAAAACAAAATTTGAAGAACATTCTAGAAAAAACGGAATGTTATGGGTGGATTTAGTGTATGGAATTGAGAGCGTATTTAGAGAGTTGGTTGGATTCAGTAGAAGTTCAAGATTTTGAAAGTCTTAAGGAACTTATGCTCACTGAGCAAATTAAGCGGCGAGTCCCTCTAGAAATAAGAGAGCACTACTTAGACAATTGGGAAGAATTTAAAACAGCTTCCATTTTAGCAGAGAAATGCGACAAGTATGAGGCTTTGCGAAGAGATACGAAGTTAGAACAGAGAGCGGGGTTAAAGAAACCATTTGAGAAAGATAGAGAGCGGTATGTAAATTCTAACTGTAGTTATAATCAGAAAAGTAGTGGTCATCAAAGAATTAAATCAGAGGAGCATAGAAAAGTGGAGGCTCCTAAAAAAAAGCAAGTTTTTAATGAAGCAGGTTTCGAGAAACAGCGGAAAATAAGGTGTTACCAATGTGGAAAGGACGGACATATCCGACCTAACTGTCCATCGCTGGAAAAGAATAAGGCTAATCTGGTGAATAATCTAGGGACGGAGAGTTTAGGAAAATGTTTTGAGCCGTATTTCAAGAAAGCAGTAATTAATGGGATAGAGTGAGAATATCTGAGAGATACTGGTATAGATCTGTGTAATAGTACTTGGATTAATACTAATGACTTATTAGGGGAAACTGTATGGGTGAAACAGGCTTTGGGCACAGAATGTAAATGTTTACCTTTGGCGAAAGTCACCATTGAAGGTGATTTTGGTGTGGTCACCACAAAGGCAGCGGTTACTCCGGTAGAGTTAGATAAAGAGTACTATTTGTTAGGGAATAAAACTGCACAGTTGATTGAGGAAATTAGGGAACGACCGGTTCTTTTGAATGCTGTGGAAACTCGTAGTCAGGCGCATGCGCGCAGGAGTTTAGAGAGAGCGAGTGCAAAAGACTTAGATTCCAGATCGGAAGAAAAGAAAGAGATAGAAAATGAAAGGGGCCGTCAATAATGAGCATTCGGAAGAAAGGAATTTAACCAGTAATACGGAGGAGGCAATTAAAATTGCAGACATCAGTTTAGAAGAAAGGTCTATCCTTGCGGATGTTTCGCCAGCAGAATTCTTGGAAGCACAAAAAACTTGCGCTAGTTTAGCGATCCTGTGGAAGAAAGGGGAAAGTGAAAATGAAAAAGAGTTTATAATAGTCAAGGAAAGACTATTCAGAGTGGCAAGTTCTAAAAAAGGGGAAGATAAGCGTCAGCTGTGTGTGCCTCTCGTTTTTAGGAAAGGGATCTTGAAGTTATGCCACGAGGAAATCTCTGGTCATTTAGGGTTTCTGGCCTAATTGCTACCAGGAAATTGAAGAATTTGTGAGGACGTGCGATATTTGTCAGCGTGTAGGTCACAATAAAGATAAAAAGAAAGCCCCTATGAAGATTGTGCCTGTTATATCAGAAGTTTTTAGCAGATTAAATATTGATGCAGTAGGACCTCTGATCCCTAGTTCGCGTGAAAATAAATACTTAATTATGTCTATTTGTGTTGCTTTCCAAATATCCAGATGCCATTCCTGTACAGAATTTAAACTCTAAATGTGTGATTCAAGCCTTGATACAAATCTTTTCTAGATCAGGTTACCCTAAGGAAATTCAGTGTGATTTGGGTAGATCGTTTACCAGTGAACTTACATCTGAGTTTTTTAGCAAGTTCGGAATTAAGGTGTATCATTCTTCTGTGTGTCACCCTCAAAGCATTCTGTTGAAAGGTTGCATTCCACCTTGAAAAGGGTATTGAAGGCTTTGTGCTTGGAAGGCGGGAAGGACGGGAAGAATGTTTGCCATGTGCTTTGTTCGCCCTCAGAACTGTTAGCCATGAGAGCACAGGTTTTAGTCCCTGCGAGTTAGTACATGGAAAAAATTTGAGAATGCCTCAGACGATTGTGTATGAAAACTGGCTAGAGGAAGAAAGTTCAGACCCCACTGTGGTCGAGTATC